GGGTTTTTAATTGAACAAATTAATTTTTGATAAATTAATACCTTGTCTTAGATTTAATTATTCTCTAATCAAAATCAACATATTCTTATTGTTTGAGATTGGCGGCTAAGGGTTTCTCGTGATAATAAGAATAGAGATCATACAATGGTGTGTAAACCGTTTTTGTGAATACATGTTTTCATAATCTATGATTAGGGAAGATAGATTCTTCTGCAACATTAGTTAGAAGTAAATAGGTAGATAATTCGTGTCAACTGAAGATAGGTTATTATTAACAAACATTCATGATTTATCTTTCTTTAAATTGAATTAAATGAATGTTACTGATTTTAATTCTGAGTTATACATACACATTGAAATCCCAAGGTTGAGACAATTGACCATAGTATGAGGTTCGTGGTGAAGTCAAGCCCTAAGATCTTTTCTTTCTGATCTCAATCAATTTACTTTGTTTAATTTTTGTTCATGTTATTGAATTGCAACACAATAAACAAAATTTCCTTCTAAATTAAAATAGTAATTAATTGAAACCTCGATAAAATAACCATAGTCCCCGAGGTTCAACACCCTCTAAGTAGCCATATCCTGTAAAGGATTCGTACTATTGCGAGTGGTAAAATAAACTACACATCAATTACATTAAGACATGCCTTCCCTAAATAAAATACAACCACCTTCAACTCCTAAACAAGTTAAACACCACAAAAATATATAATTTGCAACTACTTCCCTCCCAAAGTTGACAGAAAAACAAAACTACAACTAGTCACCTACAACTCCTAAGATGAACACAAAAACCAACAAACAGTTTATTTTCCTCCTGAAGTTGTCACAAAAGCAGTAATAGAAATGATGATACATGTTGCAACAAGTTTCTTCATCAGTTGACGCCTTTCTTCAATGGCATATAATTTAGTTTTTAAGTTAGCAATATCATTTCTATGAACATGTTGACCAACCTCAATCTTCTTCCCATTTGCGTTTAAAATTTCTGTTGAAATTGGTTCACACTATTCCCAAAATCCACATCTTCTTTTTGGACATCTGTAATATAGCTTTCCCAAATTGTCATACTCATCAAACCTTGTGTAACGACCCGAACCTGGGGGTCCGAATTGCTAATCAAGTCCTTACCCGAACCCGAGGACACACTAAGGGTAAAATGGTCATTTAACAATAAGTATGGATAATCTGACCTTAAGCTAGTCAAATAAAATTTATAATAATCATCTTAGTCATTCTATGACATTCGAGAGGTTCTACAGTTATTGGTCATTATTGTCCAAAAGTGTTCCTACTCGGTTCAAAGGGAAACTCGACATTGTCTCACTAAAACAACCATATCTCTTAGCACAAATGGTATTTGATGATGAGGTTGGTGTCATTGGAAAGCTGACTTAAAAACCTTGAGAATGGATTCAAGAATGACCTCATTTGAGTTCGGAACGAAAAAGTTATGACCGCACAAAGTCAGGTGATTAAAGTTCACAAAATGTCAAAGAAAAAGTGGACACTGGAGGGCTTGAACCGGTTCAAGATGGGAAATGTGCCCAAACGTGAACCAAAACACCCCTTGAACCGGTTCAATGGGGTTGAACCGGTTCTAGATGACCAGAACCTAAAATTTTACCCAAAAAAAGGCCTAAAACTGTGAACATGCACATGGGCACCCTATTTGGTCCCTTGGTGACCTTATTCAAGTCCAAACCTGTCCTAAATCATAAATTTAACAATGAAAATGACACAACCAAGAATCTTTATATTCAACTAAAACTGTAAAAGAGTCTATTACATCATTTGAAGTTAACGTGTTTGTAATACTTCAAATTATGGCCTTAAGGCCTTACATGGATATCAAAATCAAAATGAGATCACAAAATACAAGAGGATGGTCTCAGGACCACTTCCACTCGTGAACTATATACAAAATGTTACCAAATATAATTTACAACAAAAGGTAATACACACGTTGATCCCGAACAAATGTTTTAGTCCCTTGCAACCCGACTAAGCTAGTGGTGGATTTTCGTCTACCGTTTCTTTTTCGTGTCCTGAAAATGATAAATTAAGGGGTGAGCACTAGGCTTAGTAAAAGTCGCCTAAGGTGTCAGTTTTGGACTCCCTTGAGCCACATAACACATAAGTGAATGGAAAAGAAGCCGGGGTCATGCCATGGGAGTGTAGATAACATTGAACACAAAGCAAGCATTATCCATAATCACAAGCACAATTTTACATCAAAAGTGCATAATATGATATGAGATGCACCCCCTCACTAACTTGGTCTATATCGACCCAACATACACTTTTCGAAATTTTGCTAACTGACTTTACCGATGCGAGATTGATAGCTATCCCCGGTTCCAATTCTGACAATGCTTGGCAACCGTTAACGGGCCTAGTATCAACTTTTTCACGCCCTACACCGGGCCGCGCTCCTTCTAGGTCAAGCTAGCTCTAGACTCGCGAAATCTAGTTTATTTAAAAAAAACTTCCCTTCTATTATAAAAAACTTTACTTTCTAAAAATAATCTTCCTTTTCAAACCTTTTCCAAAACTCCCACTTTATGCTATGATATGCAATGCAATAACCTTCATCCTTAAGATCATAAGTCCATCACTATAGCAAGAACAACATCATCATGGCATTTTATAATAATTAAGGAAAAATTATGGCATGTTTTGGAAACCCAATACAACACGAATATCATCATCTAAAGTAAGACATGTAGAAAATTATCCATAAGCATGTTCAACACATAATCATATACACAATGTCAAACCACCAATCAAGCATCCATATAATCCTCATATAACAAGATTAAATAGGCTTTTGACACAAGATTAAGACAACTCATGCTTAATCACATATAGACATTCACAAATCCACAAATTTTATATCAAAATTCATAATTATCAACATATAACAAAAGAAATAGGAATTTGCTCGAATAAAAGGCAAAACTTAAAGCATTAGGGAACCCCTACCTCACAAGAAGACCAAGAATCCAAGAAGCCCCAAATCAGCCCAAGAACCCTAAAATTTGAAATCCCCAATGGTGGCCAAACGGATATTTGCCCTAATCAAAACGAAGATCTTGACGACCTCTTCAACTTTGCCTCAAGTGGCAAATTTAAATTCCCAAAGGAAATCTTTAGATCAAAGTTTGAAATTTTGTGGAGAGAAAAAGAAAAGAGAATGAGAGAGATATTTCGTGAAAGAGAGATATTTCGTGAGAGAGAGAATGAGGAAATTGATTCAGCCAAATGGCCTTAAGGCCATTAAAAGAAATGGTAAGGTAGGTCCCACGATGAAAGAAAAATCTTCTTTTTTAACATTAATATATATATACACACACACACACACACACCAATCACATACCACCACAAAATTAATCATTTAATCAAATAAATATGCACAATAAAACAAAGTATGAAATGCAATGGACCCGTGACACAACCCCTATGTACAACAACCCCTGTAGCGGGTCCCACCTGAGACCTCCCGGTCCGAAAAACAGAAAACTGCCGAAATGACAACTAATACATTTTCAAGGGTCTTGACCTTAAGAAAACGCCCCAATCAACTCCCAAACACACCCAGCACATCTCACGCGGTGTCAGGTATGCAAAACAAGGTAAGACGGAAATACTCTCAAAAAATCAGAAAAATTCCAGAAAATGAAAAAATGGGAAATATTAACACTTTGTTACAAGAATTAGAGCTGTTTTGCCACAATCATATTCAACATCGATATACCTCAAATCAAGACTCCTATATTGTATGCTTGAAGAATACATTCTTGGATTGGAATCTAAAATCAAAACAACATCTAATTTCAATAAAATACTAAAAATCAACTCAAAACAACATGATATATTTTCAATTGTGGTTATGGCTAGACACTAAGGTGGGGGTTGTATTGTACAATTTTGAAAACAAAATTCACATAATGGGTTTGAACCTCAAAGCAATTACATTTTTTGAAATCTCAAAGAAATTTATTGAAATAAATTACATTCAATTAGGGTTTGGGTAGGGATACTGATTACATTCAATTACGGTAGCAAATTACCTTCAATAAAGGCAGCAATTTACCTAATTAGGGTTTCAAAATCACTTCCACTGCTTCCTAGAATGGAGGAAAGAACGGCGGCTTCTAGGGCTAGCTCTTCTTGAAAAGCTTTCACGCATAGTGGAGAGAAGATGAACCGAGAAATGTGCAACTATGTGGGTGTTCTTATTTAAAATGCTTGGGGGCATTTTTGGAATAACAAATAAAAATTGATAGCACATGCTTGGCACATGTTATTGCAGGGGTAGTTCGTTACTAAAATTTGATTGCCAATGCATGTGAAGACGTACCACACGCTAGGTTAACGTCCCAAACTAACATAATTGGGGCAAAGTGATAACTTTGCAATACCGTTGGGAAAACAAGTTGGGATTTTATGATAAAAAATTAATAGTATTGGGATTTTTATGATTTAAGCCCTAATTTTTTTTTTTAAAGTTATCACAAAATCCCACTTTTCGATATAAAAGATAAATATTTCCTATAAATTTTTTCCTAGGACCAATAAATTTTACTTTTGAAGTTCTTTTCCATTTAAGTTCTAAAACACCCAAATTTTTTACTTATACCCTTAGCAAATATAAGTAAAGTTTTAGAATTAAATTTTTTATTTTAAAATTGATATGTAATACCTTTTTTTTTTTTTTCTATATTAATTATGTTTTAGTTAATTAATAAATATTTATTATAAATTTAATTTAATTAAATTTCTATTCCAAAAAATCTGTTGTAGATTTTATGACAATCATTTTCTAAAATATAAAAACTAATAATTGAATTAAAAAAAAGTTAATAAAATATTATATTTCTTTTATAAATATATAAATGTGTATCTTCTAGAAGCCCTCCCATTTCGTCGTACATCACTTTTACTTTGTCTCACTTATTCTAGAAGCAATCGTCAACAAAATGACTGAAATTTTTAGAAACCACCACTTTAAGTCCAACCCAAAAGATAATCACGCACAATATTCCTTGAAGGCGTTCTCTTTCTCTCTCTAGATCTCGAGTTATAATTCCTCCCTATACATATATATTCACAAATTTTTCTCTCTAGTTTCTGCCTCCGATCGATCCACATATATCATGGAACTAGCTAGCTAGTTGTAGCTACTCTATCGATTGATAATTTATTGATGGCTGATGATCATAACATTGATTCCCAGGTGCAAGATGAAGAAGAAGAAGCACTCTCTCTCAGCGATCTTCCAATAACCACCGATGATGAACGTCCAGCTGCTGCTGATGATGAAGAAGAAGACATGAACCCCAAGACTACAACTACTACTACGTTCCACACTGGTAGTAGTATTAGTAGTAATTGCGGATCATCATCCTCCTCCTCCGAACCAACCACCAACGACTTGTTCGAGTTCTTCAGCGGTCTCACTACTTCCGAGATGTCTCATGCAGAAGACATTATCTACCGTGGAAAGCTCAAACCCTTCATTAATACTAATACTAATATTGATCATCATGATCATCAACAACAATATTATTCTCTCTCCAGCCAAACCACCCATATATATTCCCACAATGATAATAATAAAAATAATATTATTATTAAACCTTCTATTAATAATAGAGACGAAGTAGTAGAAGATGACAAACTACAAAAAAGCTTTCATCGCCGGCGATCGGGCTCCATGTCCGACTTAAACATCATGAGTACCTCTCGATCTAACAGCACCAAGAGCACTACTCGTCCACATCCACTCATGCGCAACAGTCGCTCTTTGGATTACCGAAAACTACGTACAACTTCAACCTCCAACTCTGAAACTTTGACGTCGTCACATATTCAGCGGAACTCTTCAGCCAAGAATTGTGGTGGAAAGTCCTCCGAAGCCACCGCCCAAAAGCTGTCCAGGCCTCGGTGGCATATTCTCATGTTCGGGCTTGTAAAGTTTCCGCCGGAAATGGATCTCAAGGATATGAAGAACCGTCAGTTCCGGCGCAATCATCCAGCAGCTATGTTTCCGTCCTTTGAGGACACCGGCAGTGGCCAGAAAGCGCCGATGAACCGAATTACTACAGATCATCGTCAGCGGAAGAGCTCTTGGGGACTTCTTAAGGTGTTGAGCTGCAAAGGCAATGCAAGTGTTGCAGTTACGGCGTCGTTTGGTTGCATGCAGCCACTGCCGCCTCCTCCTCCTCCTGCAGGCGGTGTGACTATGAAGGAATGAATATTTATTAATTAATTATTACGGCTCGGCTCTCTCAAGTCTCAGTGATGAGTAAGTCGGTCCACAGATGTCTCTCTCCAAAAATTTATTTATTTATTTGTTTGTTTTTTTAAAGAATTACCCTTGGAACCAGCCGGTCTCCGGTTGGTGATGAAGGGTAAATCAGTAATTGAAAAAAAGTTGGAAATTCATCTTCTTCTACGACAGGTTAATCAAGACTTTACGTAGCAGCGAAGGAAGATAATGTGGTGTGGCGAAACATGGTTGATGATGATGTCGTAGCTGTAATGATAGGAGTATATCCATCTTAATCTCAATGTGTGAGTGAAATGAAAAGTACTTTTTGTCCATTGGGGACAACGAAAATAGAATGAAGATCACGAGTACTGGAATGGAGTCGAGTGGTCCCAACCAACAATTAATATATATATATACATATTTATAAATACACACACATATTTGTAATATTCGGCTGAGAATATCATCCATCTCGATCCGTATTAGTAATTGGTTTTTCTATATAGTATTTATTTGTTTCATTTGGTTGATGAACATTAATTATTTTATATAATCTTTATTTAATATTACATGCAGATACATACATACTAGATTACTTTTTCGAATAGTAAGAAATAGACAAAATTTTACACATTGTTTTCTCATCCCAGCGATAGCTTTTTCCCCCTCTCTCCTAGCTAGCTAAATTGGCTACATTTTTGTTAACAAAACAATGAGTACGTATGTAAAAAAAATTGATGGGCCATGATTGTATTGTCTTTCCTTAGAAGCTAGCTGAAATGAAATATATATGAAATACATATGCGCATAATAATGAAAGATAGGTGGTACGTCAGGACTCAGTGGGCGCAAGGTGTTGCTAATTCTCTCTTGGAACCGTACCTTTTATTTCTAGTATGTATAAATTTGTCGGTAAAAATAACAAGGCAATGTAACAATCACAATACCCAAACCAAACGAGAAAATTCCAGAATTGAACATTTCTCCACTAGTGTGCAAAATCTATGATTAATAGATATAAACTAGAGATAATAAACCAATAAATAGAACACAAACAATCATACAAAAGGGACACCAAAATATACGTGGAAAACTCTTCAAATTGAAGGGTAAAAAATCATGAGCTAACTCCGAATAATATCTTTCACTATGAAAATAATGGGATTATAATTGAGTCTTCTCTAGATTAACTAGAGAATTACAAATTAGAGATTCTTCAAGGAAAATCAAAACCATCGGATAACATCAATATCAACATAATAGATCGTCAATGAGGGTGGATATCAACAACAAAAGTATATAATCTCACTGGTGTAGAGCAGAACGTAAAACAGAGATAAATGGAGAACCTGACCAAAGATGATGATCTTCTCAATGCCAACAACCTCCCCTTGAAGCTACACCTTGATTGGAGTTGATTGGCCAACTGATTTGCAGAGAGTTGTGGGCTATTGGTCTTCCACAATCTCTCACTTTTCTTGGTACGATGAAGGAAACCCCCAAATCAGAAAACGCCTCTCCTTCTCCCTCTTGTCTACATAATATTATTCCATCATAAGCACTACATCTCTACTAAAGGAGAATATATATATAGAGGCTTCCACATGGGCTTAGACATCCTAGTGAGCTTAACAATAGTAAAACACTCATTGGGCTCTCCACATAGGAGGGAACAAACCTAATAAATCTCCCCTTCCCGACTATATGGAATGATCCACCATACATGCCGTGCTTCTGCAGAACTCATGTTTCTCTTTGGGTAAGGCTTTGGTCATCATATCTGAACCATTTTTCGGTATAGATTTTCTGAAGTTCTATTTAAGGATATCTCAAATCCAATGATACATCACATCTATGTGCTTTGATCTTGAGCGAAAACTTGAATTCTTGCTTAAATGAATGACACTTTGACCGTCACAATGTTGCAAGTACCTCTGTTGTTTAAACTCCAATTCTTGTATAAATCTTTTTATCCATAACATCTCCTTGCAAGCTTCAGTTGCACCAATAAATTCAACTTCTGTAATAGAGAGTGCAACACACTTTTGCAGCTTGGACACAACGCTCCCTGCAAAAGTAATCAAGTACTCAGATGTTGACTTCCTAGAGTCTGTATCTCCAACCATATCTGCATATGTGAACCCTTCAAGCATAGGCCATTACCAAAACAAAGAAAACTCTAGAAGTACCCTTGAGATACCTAAGAATCCATTTCACTGTTGCCCAATGTTCTTTCCCAGGGTTGGAAAGAAATTTGCTTACAACTTTAACAGTATGTATTATGTAGGGGTGGCCATAGATCGGATGGGATCGGATCGGATTAGACATCAATCCTAATCTGTGATACCCCTCGGATCCGAGATACGGGTTGATTAGGCCCAGGCCCGAACCCAAGGGAATATCAAACAATTAATATTTTAAACGAACACGGAATACAAATTGAAATAAGAAATAAATAAAAGCTGAATGAAATTTAAAATAGAATCCTTTAAAAATTAATAACTTAAAATCCAAAACCTCCAATCGTTTAAATAACTCGGGAATCCATCCATTGGACCCCTAATACGAAAATCCAAACTGAAGTATAAATAATAAAAATATCCAAAACGAAACCATGGAGAGAAGTCCTACGTCGTCGTAAGAGTGAATAGAAATCTCTGCTTAGCACGATCAGGTCTAAGTCTGGAACTGACAAGTACCTGAAAAATAGAAGTGGGTCAGGTCCACGAACAAGTTCTATCCTACTACAATCCAAGTAGAGACTCGATACGCATATACATTCTAACCAACTCAACAATATCTATATAGTCTGTATATATTTATATATCCACATTACAGGACTCTCACTGGACTATGCAGGGGGTTTCAACCTAAGTAGAAGGCAACATGCAAAGCGCACCTGAATGGGCATGAGTACCTAAGCCTAACAGGGTATACCTCAACCTAGCATATCCAGCTACGCATCCTACTGCATATACGTTCCCTATCCTACGACTCTGAGACTCAAGCTCATATCGCGATACCATAAAAATATATTTAAAGTCCATCATATCCATCTAAAGTAAGTCTAGTTAGTCATTCAGCTTGTGTAGTTTCTTTGACTTAACATAAACAGCCACTAATTCGTTTAGTCATTCAGCTTGTGCAGCTTCTTTGACTTAATTATAAGTAGGATTTTAAATTATATAATCCGTTCCCTTATTCCGATATAATAGGTAGGTTTTAGCAATTTGAGCTAATCCAAACGTAAACATGCCACAGTCCCATACCAGTGCATGCAATCCATCATCCAGCAGTTGACAATACAACTATATATGTAAATAACAACTATTCCATAAAGTCCACAATTGATAATAATATATTAAATATAGGCATTAATCGTTCCATATCAAGCATGATAAAATTTTATACATTAACAGGCTTATACTTATTACTCTCCAAGATCCAATAATTGACTATACATATCATGCATATAAACATCAATTTAATTCCAAGTTAGCATAACAGAATATACAAATTCACATGCTTACTTTTTTTATACCAAACTAACACTAACTGGTATAAGTCGTTAAATGCAAATCGTCAATTAATCCGTAGCCAGCAGTAGTTAAAAATTAAGCATGCTTATTCCTACCATTGTTCCATGATTAACATGGTGTAATCATCCATAGTAAACTGCTAAATTAATTATAAGCAATTAAACTCTTCATCTCCAACAACAGTATCCAGATTTTCATTTACCGATTTATATTCTGTTTCACTCTGAACAACAGTGTTTTAATACACATTAATCAACCCTTAAAAGATTTAATATGGCCTTAAATCATCTCAAAACATCCTAATACAGCTCATACCAGAACTTGAAAATCCCAAAATCCATGCATCGTAGCCAAAACAGTCGCCGAAAAAGCGAAAAACAAAAACCAAATGAAAGAACCTGCTCCCTCAAAGAGGGAACCTGCTCTCACAAGCTTGGAGCCGGCTCTTACAAGCTTGGAGCCGGCTCCAAGGCCCTTAGAGCCGGCTCCATGCTCCCATGGAGCCTGCTCTTTGTTCTGGGGAGCCTGCTCCTTCAAACGGGAGCCGGCTCTCCTTTTGTTCCTTTATCTCTTTCACGTCCGACGATTTTCCGACGAACTATACCTCACTCCTAAGATTTCTAGGTCTCTAAACTAGATTCCAATGTCATCACTAGGCAATTAAATTCTTTATCCATTCACTGTCATCCATCGGAACACAACTATGCAACAAAACTTAGAACGAACAATTACCCATTCATGAACCCTTATTGTTTTAAGCATTCAACTCTGTAATCCAGATTACTTCTAGTGTTTCTTCACGTGTTCCAGACTAATTAAAACTTTAAACATCAATTTACATGAACTCAAATATGTGTTACAAGAAATCATTAAAACGAGCAGTACACAACTTACGACTACAATCAGTTTTTAAAACAACAGAGACATAAAAATCCAGTTTAATTCTTTTAATCTTTTATGTTTTCCTGAGGTTGTATTAGATATGCAAAGAACACGAGGCAAAGGAAAAGAGTTAGGATTAGAACTTGCCTGTAAGACTTTGGTTCAAAATCTTAGCGCCGTCTTCCTAAGGTTTCCGGCAATCCTTACTGTAATTCTCCTCTGTTCCTTCTCTGCCTCCACAATCGTGAGTAGGGTTCTAAAACCCTTGGCAGATGCTTATATGTATATTTATAGGCCAAACTAATCCTAGGTTCAATTAACCCTAAACTGACTTACTCGGCCCATAGAACAACCTATGTTAGCTATACGTCGGCTACATATGTGAATTGTATTATAAAACTATAACCATAACCTAACCTGATACAATTTAACCTTATAATTATTAACCCAATTTAATCCCATTAAAACCGTACAATTAATTTAATTTAATTATACAATTAAACAAGCAATTCAAAATACAATTAATTTAATTAAATAAAACAAAATACTGCATTTAAACAATTAATTAAAAATAAATAAAACACCCAAACAAATAGCCAAATTACCACATAAGAATGCAAAAGTACAATAAAACTTCCAAAATAAACTACCGAGACTATTCTTTAAAATTAGGGGTATTACATAATCTGATCGCTCGCAACGGATTGGGAGATTTTGAATCCGCCACCAATCCGTTAGCCAAAAAATCGGATCCGTGAAATGACGGATCGGATCAGATCCAATCCGCGGACTGGATTTTTCAAAATAGTATATTTTCACCAATTTTATTTCCACTTACAAAGCAGTGTTAGTGTATAACAGAACATAGATAAAAATAATTTAAATGCATAACAGGTGAGGCGGCCATTTTTCTCTCTGCTCTTCTTTAGTTCTTTGAGTTCTTTCATCTTTGGGTAGGTTTAGGTTTTGTTTAAATGAAAAGTCGGTGGTCCACTGTTATTGATTGAGTAATAACTATTTTAAAACTAATTGTATAATACTTACCAAAAAAAGAAAACAGAAAAAGTACGGTATGTTGGGAGTTCATATGTATATATATATGCTAGTTC